AACAAAGGTTTTTGCAAGAGATACAAGCTCATAAGGGATTTCCTTTCTTATATGCTCCTGCTTAATGTTTGTCTGTTCCTCAATGTAAGCGGACATCATGTGGCAAATTCTTTTGAGAACAATGTTAATTTTTTCAATCTCCCATACCATTGGTGGTGAGGCCAAATCTCCACTGTAAAGCTGTCCAGCTATTATTTCATTGCCTTCATTGTCCAACTGATACGCCCCATCTATCCAGTTCTCCATCATTTTCCCGAGAGTAGAACATTTGGTGAGTACATCACAATAAAGTTCAATTTCAGGTAAATGATCCCATCCGAATACGATCTCCAGTTCGCGGTTGAGTTTTTTTTGGTTAACTAGACCTTCTTTGTCATTTACTGTTCTGTTCGCTATCTCTCGACACATTAGTGAGTGTATCATTTCATGTTCAAATTTTGATACTTGACCCTTCACCCTACATCTTAACTTCTGCATCAACTTAAGAAATATTTCATTAAGTGTAAGTGGCGACTCAGAGCCTTCATCACCTAAGGACTGTACTTCTTCTTGGAGGGAAGTTGGAGTTGAGGAGCGGACACAGTCATCCGAGACTGCAACCTCTTCATTGCTCAAATGTTCTTCCTCTGAAAGGCTCTGTGTGTCGTCCGGACTGCCCAGAGGCCTTTCATTTATTCCAATGAGAGGGCTGACAAAACATATGTCAATCAGCTCCTCCAATGTCTGTAAAGTTATTAGATTATCCATGGAGATACTATTTCGGTTGACCCTCTATCTACACTTCCTTCACACACTGAAACTCGTGAACTAATATAAAGTCCAAGCCAAGTATCCCCTGCAAGCTAAAGGAACTTCAAAGGCAATAGAATTCACGTGACGTCATAAAGACAACCGTTGCTAGTGCCGCCTTTGGTTGCCTAGCAACCAAGAACGTAGGTTTGCATAGGGTCCATAGGGACTAGTCACGACCAAAGTTTGGAAAGACACAATTGTCCCCACCAATATTTTGTTAATTTGAATTGCCTGTTAGAATAAATAAGCAGACACTCAGATCTCCGTGGTCAACTCAGCAGACACTTACACTTTAGTGCACCTATATACTGAAATTCACGGTAAACGCATTCAAACGGCACAGATCGGGATCGAACGAAGGACTTTGAAAGATAGCGGAAAGATTAACGTGAGATAACATCCGGTTTCTTCAGACGGACATCCGGTTTTCAGAATAAGATGCCAACAAAGTATGAATTATATTCACATTAAGTATAAAACATGCTACCTGCATCTCGTGAGTTAAAGGGAAAATACACCTAAATTGTGGGTAAAGTGTCTTTATTCTTTGATCCCTGGGTAACCATAATTAGCTCGGAGTTACAGCATTATATTGATGAACAGTAGAGCTGCATTCACATGTTCTGACTGTCATGAAGACAGACATTTGTGCTGAAACGTGCTGAAACATGTTATTCATGTTGCACAGCAGTGGAACGTTTCACACACAGTCACACACTGAGCACAGATAGTGAAGAGATAGAACTGCTGCTGTATAAAGGGAATACTGCTGTTAAAAAGCATCTGATGTGTTTAAAGTGTTTGCAAACCAAATGTTATTGCCCTTTTGTTCATATAGCAGTACTTTTAAAATAAAAGTGCGCAATACACTACTTTTTAATTCATTATTGAACGTTGCCATAACAATGAGATTAATCGCAAAAAATCCATTCGATTAATCGCGATTAAAAATTGTAATCGTTGCCCAGCACTACTAATAATTGCATAAAGGAGGAAAGCACTTTATTTGTAGCCTATTAAGTGCTGCAGAATAGATTTATTTTTTTGGTCTTTTTTTGGCTGCACAACTGGGAAAAGTTTTTTTATATATATTTTGGATATAGAATACTGTTACTGTATATTGGCATTTTAGCAGAACGTTTTTTATTCATTTATTTAATTATTTATTATTATTATTATTTATTTGGTGCAGAATACTGTTTTGTATTTAAACTAAGGTTTTGTTACTGTTATTATGTTTAAATCAGTTCCAAGTTACACAAATGTTAATATATTTTAATAAAGTTTGCCTGTTCAACATAATATCAACCAGGAGCGTCGTTAGGCCTATTTTAGGGGGGCTGAAGCCCCCCTCAAATGTTCTTCAGCCCCCCCAAATAATTTGGCATTATTGGCTTTAAAAAAAAAAGAAAAAAAAAAAATATATATTTTTATTTTGGTGATGTCATTAAATTAAACTATTGTTTCTCACATGGACAAGTTATTTATAACTCTAACATGCTACATATGTGCGTGTGTTCTGGTTTGTATGTTTTCTCCCCCTTCAAATTACGATCCAATAGCCTATCGTCATACTTAACGATATAAAGTTGACACTGTCAGGTCCATTCTTCATCCATTGTGTGCGGTCCCTTTAAGAATTAGGATTTGGGAGTGACTCGGATATTCTTTATTTGAGAAAAGTGAGGGGGGGGCTGGCAGTGTCCCTACCAATGCTGAGACCAAACCTACGCCCTTGCTAGCAACGGACCTTCTGTCGGACCTGCAGCAGGAGTCCTTTCAGTCTGTTGTGTTGTTCCAGCGCTGTCGCCTCCTGCTGGCCTGTCTGCAGTACAACAACCAGCTGGCCCAGCACCTCCGATCCCACTTCAGAGAGGAGTTTAGGTTTGTGCTGCTGCCTCACTTTTCTGCTCCATATTCAGGACGGCGAGGACTAACGCACGAGTAAAAAGTCAGATTAAAAAGCAAAGTTTGCCAATGATGAAACCCTTCACCAACCCAGCGTCAATGTCAGTATTTCATCAACAATTACAAAGTGAACAATGTCAGCAGCCTTTCAGTGGTTTAAGTCACACAAAATAGTTTTTGGGGATATATGTATACAAATAACGGCACATTATCGTAGGTAAAGCTACGAATGCTATCTGAGACCAGCATGCATTTCTTTCATTTTAATTTGATTCATCCATCAGAAGAAAAGACACACGGTCACCTGTGAACATGTGATAGTGTTAATTTAATAAAAGGGTCATTCTACAGAAACGGTGGAATCTAGACAGTACAGATCTGCTGAAATGTATTTCTCCTTAAAAACAAAAAACTTATTGTATAACATCAACTAACATCTAAACTTAATGATTCCACAAAACATTGAGCTTAATGTATTTTTATTTTTCATGTCTTTTTGCAGCTTTTTTACACAGGAATGTCACTGGTGTTACCAGGAGGAGTAACTCCAATGACAATATAGAGAAAAACCTACAATTTTAACAAATGGCTGTCATGTGTCAGACCATGTTTTCAGGCAAATCAAAATCATTAAACTGTTCAATATAACCAGTTATAATGTTCAGTTTCTTACGCCTGCGGCCAATACATGAGTAACACAAATGACAGACTTAAAAGCTTCGCTCAAAATTCTCACATATATCATATTTTAAACAAATGAGGTAAGACATCTGACTTATCAAATGCCTTTGCCCACTGCACTTCCTCCAAGGACCTCTCGATCCAGGAGGAACCTCAAATGGTCAGTGTAGTATTTCAAAATAAGAGTGGTTTGTGTAGCATTAACACCAATGACGTAATTCTGTGTGACTGGTATTTATTTGATATTGGTAATAATAATGAGCTATTTCAATGTTGTTTTTTTAAATGTCAATGTTCTATTTAATATATGTAATGTTCAATGTCAATATGAATGAGATTTAATTCATGAAAAAAAAGGTTTTGAATAAAAAGTAAAGGCTCCACTTCCATGTATGATAAAAGTGACAAGACAATTCCTAGAACTTAGGATTTTAAAAACATTGCCAAAATTAAACATTGTAAATTAGATGAATACAATTAGTTTTATCATTGCAAGGACAGTCTTTAATTATTGAATATGTATAATTTATGTGATTATTAAGTTAACTTAAAGGAATTTACTGTCTGCAAAAGTAAGCGACAGCACTTCCACCGTTTTTGTAGAATGACCCAAAACATGATCTCGTCACACAACGCCTTGTTTTCCTGCACTGATTGGGCGATACGTGCTGTCGTACGCGTTAACATCTTTTCTTCAAGAGTCTCTGGAGTACAGATGGTGCTGCAGAAAAGCCAAGATGTTATTCCAGGAGTCCTCCTGAGGGTCTGAATGGGGTTTGGTTTGTCCTCCCCAAAGCAATATCATTGAAACACACGATGGAGATCAGAAAACCTCAATTTAACACAACTGGAGGCATTTGCATGCATGTTATATAAATAGCTCGTGATACATGTTATGTATATAACATGCATCACATCTTTCCTCGAAACCATGATGTTTTCCACAGAGGTCAAGGAAAAGTGGCTAGGAATAGACTTTAGGAGGTACTTTTTGGGACTTTTCGACCGCAGTCCGGGTGTTTTTGCTGCAGAATACTGTGTTAAAATGAGCTATATTTAAAGAATTGTTCATGTATTTTGTTAGACGTTTGTTTTATTTATTTTGCTCTAACATCACATATTTAATTAATTTATTATTTTTAAACCCTAGTTAATGTTACACTTCTGATATTTACATGATATTAATAATATTGTATTCAGTTCATTTTATTAGTTTACTTATACCACACTCCTCCGTGCACGAGCTCCTCTTCAGCTGATTCGGCATGTTTTACTTTGTGCTGCCTTCAAGTGCTCACATTTAGCTCCGATTGTTTTTCTATATACGTTCAGAAGCCCAGTTAGGAATGCTATCAAGTGTTTTGGTAGGATTTAAAAATGTAACATACCTGTACCAAAAATGAACTAAATATGAAGTATCTTGCTTTCATGAGGCGCGTTCTTTACGTAACCTTTTAATACACTAGTAATAATACTACCAATAAACATCGTTATATAAAATGAATAGACGATGAAGAATATTATTGACCAATCATATAATTAACGAGGGTCCCTGAAGGCAGCAACAAACAGAGCACTCCCACTGTCCCTCGCGCTTCCTTTTCCAGCAGCGCCCGCGATCATGGCGGACGTGGTTACGGACGTAGTTTCGGAGCAGGTAGCGGACCAGATACCGGACCAGATACCAGTCCCGGACCGGGAGCAGAACGGGGAGGCGGAGAACAGAGAAGAGGCCGACCCCGTGGTGGAGACAGCGAAGAAGAAGAAGAAAAAGAAGAAGAAGAACAAGTCAGCAACGACAGGTGAGGCTGGTTCGACCAGTTTCTTGCTAACAGGCTAGCAGAGCTAATGTTTCTTTTTATAGCTAGTTAGCCGCACTTAGCTGTGACGAACCCGGAAATAATGGGAGATGGCCTTCAAAATAAAGGTAGCCAAGTCGTCGCTTGTGGGAAGTTTTTTTTTACTGGGTTATTAAACAATTTATTAACCAGAATATATTTTGTAAAGACCTTTAAATTGTTATTTATCCTTCAGATGAAATATACAAATTTGTAAGGTAACATTTTGTTAACAATATTTTGTATTTATGTTTGTGTAATGTTTTTAACATAACACTAATAATCAGCACATAATTGTTACAACTTCCGCCTTATGACTGCAAGTGACACTTGTTAAAAATTATTTTATTAATTAGCAATCATGTTGGTGTGATTGTCAATGTCTCACGTTTGCATATCTTGTATTATGTTTTATCACTTCATACACATCTACTCTCGCTGGTGTTTATTCTGAAAATCCCACCGGAAAGGTTGTGCTGAAACGTGTCTAACTTGACCTCGCTCCTCATTAGCCATGCGGGTTGAGAGGGCGGTGTGGGTAGTGTTTCTGTGGCGCCTGTCAGGCCTTATAAAACACGCCAGGCTTCTGTCGCAGCCTCATGTAGGAACAGTGACATTTAACACGGCCCACATTTAAAGTAACACACTGTTTATTTTGGGAGGAAACACAAAGAGTGTGCTGATATAACTGTCCTCCTTAACCCTCAGCCAAGTTTTCCTGTTTCGTAATTGCCAGAATTGTTATGCAAGTAAAGAAAAACCCATAAGATTTATTTTAATACATCAACCACGTGTTAACATTATGAATCCATGATCCCTGTACACATACACACGCTCTCCTTATTTTTGTTGAATTATTACAACTTTTGAATATCTATTTGTGAATAAAGAGTAAAAAATGTTAGACTTTTAGGAAGTGAGTGCTACATCCTTAGAGATAAGAGGTGTTTGTGCAGAATAGTGTCACGTAATTATATGGACTTCACTTTTTGCAGCTGACTCAGCTGTATATTTGCTGATGTTGACTCAACCCTCTTAGCATCCCTAGTTAGAACAGCTACAGCTTTGAGCTTATTTAACCTCTGCTAGTTGGTTGCGTATCGGACTGTTATTGTGTGCTTGTCGTTGATTATGTTGTCGTTGCTGCAGGCGCTGAGGCGGAGGCCGACGGAGTGGCCGAAGTGGCCAAACAGCTGGAAAAGCAAGCGATAGAAGACAAAGAGAAAGAGGAGGACGGCGAGGAAGGTGATTGTCTAACACCATAAATAACTCTTCTGTCTTCTTGATGGCTGATGTAACTTCAGTGTTTTCACTCGCACAGATGGAGACGATGGAGAAAACTCGGCAGGGAAAAAGAAGAAGAAGAAAAAGAAGAAGAAAGGACGTGAGTTGATCTCATATTATTTTGTGAATGCTGTGAAGAGTATCCCTGAATGTTTTATATCATCGGTCATAAAGAGCAATAACTGTCCCTGGTTGAAGTTTAACTGCATCGTCTTTGTCGTTGATAGAGTGTTTTCTTTTTTTCTTCCAGCCAAATCTCAGACTGAGATCCCGTCTGTTCCCATCTGTGACTTATACCCAAGTGGAGTATTCCCCATCGGACAGGAGTGTGAATACCCGACCTTACAGGACGGGTAAGAGGAGCACACGCACACAACTACACCATACTCATATTTAGGCTAGTATCTTTAGGTCATAGTATAAAAGAAACTGTTTGTTGTTAGTATCCTGCCTGCAGTTCTTCAAATGTCATTGATTCAATTTTAAATTAAACATTAAGTGCTCGAGCACTTAAATGTTACTCCTCAGTGTGTGTTTTTAATATTGGCACTGAACTGTTCTCAAAAGTCGTGTTTATAAAATGATTGTGATGGTCTTGGAGCCGTCTACAGCTCTACACTGTGAGCTTCTGTGCAGATGAACCTATTGAGCCGGGTCAGCTGACCAGACGAGTCGAGGGTGGTGCAGCTTGTTATCTTGTAAAACCAGTTACTGCCTTCAGAGTTAAAGTTGAGATTAAATCAAAATTGCCTTTTTAACCCTTTTGAGAACACATCCCCAGTCATATTGTGCACCTATTTAACAATTTAAGTACAGGAGATTACACAAAGACAATTATTTCTCATTTTTATGTCAAAATATAATATTATTGCTTCTTAAAAAAACCTTGTATTCCACACTTCACTGGGACTTAAACATGTTTACTTTCACTTCAGATGGTCCAGAATTGCTCCACCTCCAGTGACGCCGTTTGCCTCGAGGCCCAAAAATCTAAACGTGTTGTTTCCCCCAGTCGCAGTGCGGCGTGGCGTACGACCCACGAAGAGAAGCGGGTGCTGGATAAAGCCAACGAGGAGGTCTGGAACGACTTCAGACAGGCAGCCGAGGCGCACAGACAAGTCCGCCAGCATGTCCGCGGCTTCATGAAACCCGGCATGACCATGATTGAGATCTGGTGAGGCTGCATTAATATCTGCGATCCACTTCATCTGTGTTTATTATTAGTGAAAGTCCCCAAATTTAAGTAAGAAAAGGAATGATAGGAATTTGCTAACGTCTCGTTAAGAATACTGTTTTATTCTCTGTTCATCTCTGGCCCCTCCTCTCAGTGAGCGGTTGGAGGACTGCTCTCGTAAGCTGATAAAGGAGGACCGTCTGAACGCCGGTCTGGCCTTCCCCACCGGCTGCTCCCTCAACCACTGTGCTGCCCACTACACTCCCAACGCCGGAGACACCACCGTCCTCCAGTACGACGACGTCTGCAAGATCGACTTCGGCACGCACATTAACGGTACCGCAGGAATTAAGTGCCGCGATGCAGCTAATGGCTTACTTTCATTACACCGTCAGGCTCGTGGAACTTGACTCTGATAGTTAATTCATTACACTGAACGGTTTGAGTCAGCAATAATGTTCCAAACAGGTTCGATCGTTGTTGTAAGAGCAGAATGATTGAGTCGAGACATCTGAAGCAGCTTCAGTAGTCTTGCTTTTCAATATTTAAGTCCTGCACCTTTATGGAAACGAATAACCAGAGAGACATCAAACATGTCTGTTGTGGAGTACGATTGAGGAGAAACAAACTGTGCTTGTACCTCATGGACTGAAAGATGCTCTGCTTTCTGCTCGGTGTCTGTTTGCAGGGAGAATCATTGACTGTGCCTTCACTGTCACATTTAATCCAAAGTATGACAAGCTGCTGGAGGCCGTGAAAGACGCCACCAATACTGGCATCAAGGTCTGACTCACACGGACACGCTCCACTCTGATGCGTTTGTATCTGTGCGCCGCCTGAAGCTCATCACTTCCTGTTTGTTTGTTGCAGAATGCCGGCATTGACGTGCGTCTTTGTGACGTCGGAGAGGCGATTCAAGAAGTGATGGAGTCCTACGAGGTCGAGCTTGATGGCAAAACATACCAAGGTAGGTTCTTCCTACTGCAACGGAGAGACCTCCACATCACAAACTGTTTGTCAGTCAATCGCAGCAGCACAATAGTTTCACTCCTCGATGTTAATTCATTGACGTAGTAATGCATCAAAATACCTTGTTGCCTGTTTATTTATGAACTTTTTTTCTTCCGTTCCAGTGAAGCCGATCCGAAACCTGAACGGTCATTCAATCGGTCAGTACAGAATACACGCCGGCAAGACTGTGCCCATCGTTAAAGGAGGAGAAGCAACGAGAATGGAGGTGAGTGTATTATGACCGTCATCATTCTCACTGTATCTCTCGGTACATACAGGGGTAGGAATTAAAAGGTTCTGCTGATACCGTTATCTATTCTGCTCATCAGTTAACAATGAAGCATGTTTAAATATAAGGAGCAGGGGCCTCAATCACTCACTGTTTGGTTTATGGCGTAGAGCACCAACACCTTTGTGCGTGCTTGTAGCTCGCCATCTGTGTCTGGCGCCAGTATAAACACGGATAAGTGGAGGTCCAGGTGAGGTGAGGGGGGAAGATGCACCTTCACCCCGGGCGTTTCCAAGCGGACCTAGAACCGGCCACAGAGGAAATGCGCCCCGCTACGGACCAGAGGAGGTCCCACGAGGAGATCCTCCCACACCGAGTGACCATCCACACCTGTTGAGAAGTGTAAAAATAATTTAGGTTATTTATGAAACTGTGACGCAAACGTTTTTTTTGCAACTCTCTGAAAAACATGGCGGCATCGATAAAAGGAATCAATGAACTCGGAGGCAAATAATCCCGATGGATCGGACCTGTTCTCCATTCTTCCTAGGAATATTATGCCTTGGATTTTTTATGATTTCTGTATCTGCATGTAAAGCCTGAAATGTTAGAAATGTAGCTAAATAGCTTTTTCCGATTGAGCAGTCGTCCCGGCACTGACTGATTGTTTTCACCTGCAGGAGGGAGAAGTTTACGCCATCGAGACCTTTGGCAGCACAGGTAAAGGAATGGTCCACGACGACATGGAGTGCTCTCACTACATGAAGAACTTTGACGTCGGCCATGTCCCCATCAGGTAAGTTTGTCTGCATGATTCATTCCTGTACTGAAACCCATTTAGATTTGAATGCAAATATGAGAAAAAACAACAATATCCTTGTACAATATCTGGTGTTTGCTTCCCTTCTTTTCCCCTCCAGGCTTCCCCGAGCGAAGCACCTGCTGAACGTTATCAACGAGAACTTCGGTACGCTGGCGTTCTGCCGCCGCTGGCTGGACCGCCTGGGTGAAAGCAAGTACCTGATGGCCCTGAAGAACCTGTGCGACCTGGGCATCGTGGACCCCTACCCTCCGCTCTGCGACACCAAGGGCTGCTACACCGCTCAGTTCGAGCACACCATCCTGCTCAGACCCACCTGCAAGGAGGTGGTGAGCCGAGGAGACGACTACTGATGCTCCAAACCAACCCCTTAAAAACAACCGCACACCCACCGTCACCTCCACCACACAGCACCTCCAGACCCCCCCAAAAAAAGAGCTTCTTAAACGGGATGCTGTCGCCTCAGAGCGGCTTTTTGAGGGATGCCAAATACTGCTGTACTCTACCCACAATGCACCACTCGCAGCCTGCACGGAAGAAGGGACCGGCTCTCCAAGTTCTTTGTCATCCACTACAGCTACAGAAATTGTAAACAAGCCAACAGGTTTCTGCCGGAGGAAGTCATTTTACAGAAACAATAAAATGTTTATTTAAGCTGCTGCTGAATCTAGTGCACCCCCCCAAGTATTCAAAGAGCCGGTGAGCGAGGGACATGCCCTCATACCTCCCTTTTTTGATTTTTCTATGGCTCCACTCTGACCCTCCAGTACTTTAGTGCTCCAGTTAAATTCAGCACAACTCCTACTGACGGGTCTAAGAGGTGGTTCAGCCTCTGCATGGCCAAATCTCAGACAACTAACATTTAATGCTCAAAGCCTCTGCACTCTGGCTCCTCCTATTCATCGTTTCTTTGATATTTGTAAAATATCTTTGAAATCGTGGCGGCCACTGTTTATTCCCCAGTTTAACAAAAAGGCTTCATTTTGAACTCCCTGAAAATGTTTTTGTAAGAAGAAGAAGAAGAAGAAAAAAAAAAAGAGTTGATTAAAATGATTTTGCGCATTCTGGGTCTGTCGTGTGCGATTAATCTAGAGCTTTAACCATTAGTTACCTGTTTAAAGTCAGAAACAAAGCTCTCTCTTAACCACATCCTAACATTTTGTGTCATTGCAGATTTAGACTTAAACTATCATCGCTAAAGTAAGTAGTTTAACTTCATAAGTTACTTTAAAGGTTCAGAGGGTGCAACTAATATATTCATTGTAATTTAAGCTTTTTAGTTTCTCAATTACGCATCTTTTAAGAGTTTCTATCACATATTCCCTCAACGTATAGAATACTAGGGACCTAGTTGGGAGTTTGGACAAATATACAGAAAAACCAAAAGGTTTATTTGCAGATGTCAGCGTCTGTTACTCAGCTGGGATTTCATGTATCCTACTAAATCACACAATACTGTCAGACTAGTCTATTCTGCGCTCTACTTATAATACTTACAGGAATACCTGCATCCCCTCCACAATAGTTCTCACCTCTTATTCAGGAACGTTCTCACCCGTCCGTTTCTTTTTGTGCCTCAATCTCCACCTTTCTGGTCTCATGAGAAGTTTACTTTTTAAAGATGCAGTTTTAAAGAAATTTGCTCACAGATCAGAAGTGTGGCAGAGTTATGATCCGAGCAAAACACTGTAAATTGTACTTGCATGCAAGTATATATTACGCAGTGTTTTATGTACTTGCATGCAAGTATATAATACGCAGTGTTTTATGTTGTGTGTATATACGTCCGATCACGCCTAATTACCGTGGTGCACATGAAGTAACATCTGAGTTTTGTATATAAGTAAGGATGTGTATCCGACTTTAACCTGTTCTAGGAACAAAGAAACTTCATATTCACTTAAGTTATTCGGCATGATCTGAAGCCAGTACATCATAAAATACTTGATGGTAGAGTAGAGACTGTTCATGATGCGTAAATGAAGCAGACGTGAGTAACTTACTGTACAAACTGCGGACAAGCAAAGACACGGCATCTTTTGTAGAAAAATGAAAAAATATTCTCATTTATTGAGGTAATTTTCTCTAGATGAAATTGAGGTAACAATTTGCATAGTATAACTTCCATACATTTACACACACACACACACATTCATAGAGTAGTAACCAAAACAAAATGCCGTTAATGTGTCAGGATATGAAGTGTGCTTTGAAGGGAACATGGTTGAGGTGGAGAATACCTTTTATGTTGTACAGTTTCTCTCCAGTATGGAGATAAATATCAGTCTGTGTACACGGCAGACATGTGGACAGGAGATAAAATGCAGCATGTACACAAACACGACTCAACGGTGATGGGACAGTCATAACTGCTGGTGGTGTCGAACAATCAGCGGTTGTATAAAACTTTTAAAAAACAGTCGAGGATCGTATAAAAATACATTCATGATCTAAATGCTGGTCTGGGTGCAGATTCCACTCCTGCTGAATTGATACGAGCTATAAAAATATACTCTCGACAAAAGGGCACTTTACTAGAACACTAGTATGCGTCTGGCTCGGCGACGGTTCTCTAAAAACAAACACAAATGTTGAACCGTTTTGGAAATGCTGAGAGGTTTTTCCATATACTTCCTCCGAGGCTTTGGCTTGAGGTCTGACAGACCCAGGAGAACTTCAGAGAGAAGAATACACGTCCTGCTCTGCTTGTGTACAAATCTTTAACTATAAACCCCATTTTTTTAAAAGCAAAAAGCTAACAACCGTTTCTATAGAAATTAGTGCATTTCTGGCCGCCGAGAGGCCGTCTCTAGTGAGTGAATGACTTGACGACCCTACATCCAGTTCTGTGACGACTATCTAAAGTGACTGAGAGACATTTTCAGTTGATTTAAACAAAAACAAAACATTTACAATCAACAAGCCAGCAGACGCAGGTAGGCAGGTGTGTGAATGCACCTGTAGGACCTGCTGGCTGCTACTGAGACACATCTTGGCTGATACTCTTCTTTTTTTTTTCTTTATAAAATACACCTGTACACAAATCACAAATGTCACCATTTTCTCTTTAAAAAAATACCTACATATAAACAGCATGTACAAGAAGTATACAAAAAGTTCACAAAGCAGAACTGGGTTTTTAAAAACACCTTTTTCCTCCCAGGATATAAAAATGCCCAAAGAGAGAGAGCGATAGGTGGGGGGGCTGTGCTGAGGAGGAGGAGGATGAAGGGGATTGTGGTCCTATAGCGGCCGGTCTTTGTCCTGAGTTACTCGCTGTGTGTAGAAGAGGATGTAGGCCTGAGCACGACAGACCTCCTCCACCGAACACACATTCAGTTTAGAGTCATTACAGTGAACCCAGAAGCCTGCAGGACAACAACAACCAATCAGTGATCAGACAAATATACAGTTTAAAAGAGACGCACCAATCAAATCCTGCTTCTTCGCTCACCTCCTTCTGTGTTGTAGCAGTAGGAGGTGTAGTGGCCGGAGCCGAAGCCTTTCCCATGATGCATCACCACGGCGGAGAGGTCGTACAGGAAGTGCTTGGGGCGCGGTGAGCCCGCGGCGCTGCTGGGGCTGGAGCAGGGCACTACTTTGGGCTCTCGGCAGCAGTAGGGCTCCACGTCGAGGAGCTGGTCGAAGCTCACATGGACTCCGATCTTCTCCCGGTGGTTCCGCCCGGACCACCTGAGGATCGATCGCAAGACAGCAAGCAATGTAGTTTAAGGGACAGAAGTGAAGCCAATGCTTCATGTGTTAAACCTGAATTCTCTCTACTGTCCACCAGGGGGCGACTCCTCTGGTAGTATAGAAGAGTATGAGAAAATGACTCTACTTCTCTCTTGATTTATTACCTCAGTAAACATTGTAAACATGAGTTTATGTTCTTAATCTCTAGTTTCAAGTCTTCTTCAATACAGCATGATGTTCATTTACTACATTATGGTCCATTTAGAGTCAAACAGACCATAAAGCAGGGTATGTTTTAGGGCGGGGCTACACGGTGATTGACAGGTTGCTACAGAGACCGACTGACTCTGGTGCGACAGGATCCTACCTGAAGCGTTTGAGGTGAAGCCTCAGGACCTGAGGCAGTTTGTGGACCATCAGCTGTTTTTGTGCTTCAGTCAGGAGGACCGGTTTGGAGGACGACCGCCGTCGAGCTGCTGCAAACAAAAACAAAGAAGAAGAGAGTTGACAGAGCGCAGTACTGACGTTAATCCACCGAGCGTCGCCTCAGCTTTGTGTGCAAGGATCGGCTCGGTAGGACTTATTTATTATTTTACTAAATGTGTAAATAGTTCTTATGACTATTTGATACATTTTTCAGACAGACAGAGAGAGAGTTAACAGATAAAATGGGTGTTTATGTTTACATGATCTAAACTCACAGTTACACTGCTCGCAGGCGTAGATGTTTCCCTCCAGCGCCTCCGTCTCCGTGAACTTGGCCAGCATTTCCGTCAAATGGCACGAGGCGTGAGCGGCCGACTCCCGGCTGTTACTGTGGTACCGCTCGGGGAACTCCAGAGACAGATCCCAGAAAGGCTCCACGGTGTTGGAGCGATGGTCGCAGGCCAGACACGTCACCTGCAGACGAGAGGGAGGGATCAAAGACATAATATAATATTATTTTAATTATGGTTCCTTCTGTCCTGGCCACCCTGTGCGCTGTTGTCTCTTGATACTTTATCAACTATATTAAATAAATAAAAGTGGGCCGAGGCCCCCTGAACACTACACAGCCCTCTATTCAGCAGGAGCAGGTGTCACAGCCTCCACAAGTAGACACTAATCTCTTGTCCTCACACTAACTCTCTACATGTTTCTCCTCCATCAGTCACTTGAAAGTGATGCTGAACTTTAAATCAAATACATCCAAATATTGTCCGTTTCTAAAAGTGCTGAACCAGGTCTAACGGTCACACTGGAAGCACATAAAAAAAGGGATTTTTTTCGTCAAGAAGTGAGTGCTTTTATTTAGAAAACAAGCACTATTCCTCCGATGTTTTGCTCCTCTGATTGTCAGCGCTGGAAGCTTAACCTCCATTTAAAGATGTAAAGTGATAGGATGTGTGTGTGTGTCGTACCTGGCTGAGGAGCTGCCCATGAAAGATGGTGTTGACCACACTGAGCACCTGCTTGATGAGCCGTTTCTGTGGGACTCCCGCTGTGGTCGTGTGCTTGCCGGTACTCTCCAGCTCGTGCTGCACTTTGTCCAGCAGCTCACACAGGAACTCCTGAGCGTCCTGCTGGGCGTAGCCCCTGAACGCCGGGATCAGCTGCCACACCGAGTGGAGCATGGCGAAAGGCGACACCAGCGCCCACTTGCCCGACCACATCACCTGGAACAAGGTGTGCAGCTCGTGGCAGAGGGAGATGTGCTTCGAGCTGGGCTCTTTGGGTTGTATCAGCTCCATGCTGCGGGTCCGGGACGCCCCGCCGCTCAGCCCGGCCCCAGAACCCGAACTGGCCTGGAACCCCCTCCTTTGGATCAGGGGCGACATGGACGGGGCCTTCCCTGCCAGTTGGCCGTGGACGGCGGACGCCAGTAGCTCCAGTGCCTGGGTCAGATCCAGGCGCAGGAAGCACTCCCTGAAGACATGAAGGTGGCTCAGCACCTGCAGGATGGAGTTCATATAACAGGTGTTGCCTAAATTCCTCAGGCCCGTCACTCCAGGAGTGACCGTGGGACGCCGTTTGAAGGGTGAGCCGCCCTGTTTGGTAGTCTGCTTGCGGAGAACAGGCGTTTGGGCAGAACAGGGGGTCTCTGAGGGGGGTTTGGGCCTAGATCTGGAGGTGCACGAACGGGTGCAGGGTTTGGGAGTTGGTTGGACCTTTTTCGTTCTTCCACTTCTCCTGGGGGTAACGGTGGCAGGGCTCTGAGTCCTTGGCCTGCGGGTGAGAGGCGGGGTCACAGGGGGTTTTGTCTTGTTGCGCGTCCTCTGAGACGGCGTTGTGACCGCCGCTTCAGCCACTCTCTTGCTCTTCCAGCGTAAACGGCGGCTCTTCCTGAGAGGGGCATTCTCCAACTCCTCCTGTAGCTGCCTCTTTACAGCCCGCCTCCTCTCCCGCAACTCCCTTTTCTGCTCCTCCTCCTCCTCCCTCTTCCTCTCTTCTTCCTCCCTCTTCTTTCCGCATTCTGTCAGCGCAAACCAGAGGCGGAAGACACGTCCCATGAGCGCCCTGCGGCGGTGCCAAAGCGCCGTGAACATCCTGTCCTCGTCCCTCAGCTGCAGCTCGCGGGCACCGGATGGCATGAGGGCATCGGGGGCGGTGCTCGCCGAGCGGAGGGTGCGTCCACTGCGGGTGGTGACCTCATAGCGCTGGCTCTGGATGGCGCTGAGCGTGCTACGCAGCAGCTTCAGGTCTCCGGTGGCGTTGTCATTCAGGACGTAGTCGTCACACAGGTAGCAAAACACGTAAAGTTCATTAACCTCCATAGCCAGCGGGTGGTGCTGCTGCTGGAAGTGCTGCAGGGCGTGCTCCTCGATGTAGCGGCCACACGCCACGTGAGCGCAGCCCAGGCAGGCCCATATAGACTCGCTGGTGTTGCAGTCCACACAGTGCCACTTCTGGGGGTTGAGGATGGAGTGATCTGGGGCCAGCCGCAGCCGCCCCACATGCTTACACCTGTCCATTACACACGCCCGCCTACCGAGCTGGCCGGCCGTGTCAGTCAATAACTGACCGTCTGTGTGTGAGTCTGTGTGTGTGTGTCAATGTTTCACACCGGCTTCATATCACCATGACTGGTGCTGAGAAATGGGACCCTCCCCGGGCATGGTGGCTTCTAGAGGGGCGAGAACAGATGTGGTCAGTCAGGACGCATAGAGTGAGTTAGATCTATAAGTTCTACATTTACCGCTAAAAGCCAAACACATTTGGTGTGTTTCCTATCATAATGACATCCTGCTCTTTCCATGGAAACACAATAAATCTCAGAGTCTAACCCCCAATGACTCTGTTTTATGAGGCAATAGCTACGCACAGTTAACTGCCAGGTGGTGAGCAGGCTTTAGGTTTTCCTAACAGAAACACAGATAAATAACCGGTTGATAAACATGACTGCACTGAGTGTTGCCAGGCACTTCCACTGAAACTCAGAGAGGTGCACGAGTTAACATGACCTGTTGAACCCGGATGTGACACCAACAACATGACAAACCTTTGAGCTTATCCTGAGATAGTAACCAAGAAATAAAAAACAGATGGCACAACACTTTCTAATGTGATGGACAGCTAGAAGCTCCAGAAGAAATAACAACTAAACTAAACTAAACTCAATCTAAAACCCAACAATCAGTCTCCACTCAGCCTCCTCTGGCTTCTTTTCACATCCCTGGGGGGGTTGGTGCACCTCAGCAGAGAAAGTGGGGATCCTTGAGTGGGCTGAGCCCTATCAGCCCCCCCACTGAGGTCAAAGAAGTAAGATTACTCAACAAAAGAGGGGGGACTGAGCTTGCAAAGTGGTGCAGCCTTTGTCTGGGTACAGGACTACGTTTGCTGGGGGAAATGAAAGAGTGGAAACCAGAGAAAGAAAAAGTGACTGCTGGGGGGGAAAAGGAGAGAGAAGGAAAGATGGGAGTGTAAGGAAACACTAGGTTTCTAACTTCAGAGATGTCTTGTTTCTTTCTGCTCTAGTGTCTAATGCATGACATTTAACACAAGTGTGACTCAGAGCGTTTGGTTACCAGTGATTTTGTGGGAGGGGGCGTATTTATCCAGTACATGTTGATCGGATTGTGCTGCTGTAAGTGTCTGCAGCTGTTGTGATTTAATTAATTGGCAGACCCTGTTGAGCACAGAGAATGCAATCATGTCGGTTGATTCTGCAGGTGGCATCACGAGGAGCTATAAAAGTGCAGAATAAACGTGGCACTTCGATGTCACTGTAATCAGCAAACTTCAACGTCCACATGAGTACCGCGCGGAGGATTATCTACCCTGTGAGTTACAGTAATCACCCACGAGGTTTGACTCGTAGAGGGTGAATATTGTGGAAGACCATTGGGAGGGTTTGTTCCAGAGTTTCTGAAGTTATCAGTAAGTTTAGCGCGCGTTGTGCCTGGTTCGTCCTTGTGGACTGCATGGATTTAGCCTGCATGTTAACCCGGGTTAAACGAGCCAGAACGAAACACAACCAGCCTCTCTGGCCTTTCGACAAACCGTGCGACATAACAGCAAAAATAACATGTGTCGAAACAACCCAACTTTTAAAGTAGCGTTGCCTCTCCCAAGCTAAGGTTAGCTAGCCACCGCTATAGCGTGTAATTGATACAGCTATGAAGTGATTACAAAACACTGAAACCATACACAAAAGAGCACATAAACCACTGTAACAATACCAACATAATACATGTATAACACAGGTTGAAATACAACAGTGCACAACACGCGTCACGTGTGTCAGCTCTGCTGTTTGTCTTGTATTTATTAAAGAGATTAGTGAGCCCTAGCTAACGGTAGCCTATCATGCTAACTAGCATTAGCCTGCCGGGCTAGCTACGATAATCCTAACAAGTTCACGGGTTGTCCCGGAGGTCGGCTCGCATCGGCACGGCTCTTTAAACAACCCGGCTGGATTATGTTCAATCGACAACAAACGCCGCATCGGCTCCGCTGTTACACGTCTATTACAAATGAATGTGTGGGAAATAAAAGCAGCATTACCGAGCCTCTCCTTCACGGCCGTAACTCCTCTGTTTCTAAACTGGTCGCCATCTTGTCAAGTCCCTGTCGCGTGGTGTTGGCTCGAGCGCGTCCTCGATACGTGACGTTGTTGTTGTTGTTTTTTTTATGATGACGTGGTGAGGGTGTAAAATGTTCACCTATCTTCTATTTAACAATGTGTTTAAAGTTATATTATACTGTCATTGTACTGTTTATCAGTTTAATATCAGACTGTTAGATGTTAGTATTGTAGTTAAGTGATTTATTTTTCATAGTATTCCTTATGGTAGTTGCATTGTGGTACTTTAGTGGGCCTACGTGTAATTTAGTACAGTTAATTGTGTGTTATGTCACAGTGTCACTTTTTTAATTAAAGTAATTAACAAGCTAAAGAGGGACTGGACAAAATCACTGCTCTACACTGATGACAATATGATGTAATGTCATTTTATACCACTAGATGGCGCTGTTGTACTGTTTACAATCGCATCTAGTCCCAATGACTTTGTTACCACAATCACTACAACCAAACCAGTGTTTATAGCTTTGGTTTAAGTCAATTTCATTCAAAAGTAAAATCAAAAGCCACAGTATAAAAATACTCAATTACGAGTAAAAGTCAAAGTTTCTTGCATAAAAGCACATATCATTAAAACAATCCACTGTAAAGAAATACCACGATTAAGCTTTTAGAAAGTTATATATTATATTATTGTTACTGACGTATTAATATGTAAGCAACATTTTAATGTTGTTGCTGATGGAGGTGGTTTTTGGTTGTTTAATATATAGAAATTAATCATATCTTATATGTTGATCATAAGTTTTTTGTTATATAATTCCAGCTGCCAAATAAATGTATTGGGATGAAAAAATAACAATATTTCCCTTTAAAGTGTAGTTGAGTATACGTTTCACGTAGCAGTAAATGGAAATACTTGTTTACTATCCAAGACCTGAAGTAGTAAAAGTACTATGAAGTCTATAAACACACAACCGAGGTAAAACGGATCATGATCATAATATAAAACAATGCATTGTTATAGAGTACATATACAACTGTATATAAAACATTACAATTAGCTCTACCCTTCCTTACATGGTAATTCCTCCATAATGATTAAAACAGCGGGAAAGGAGACATTCTGCATAACACTTAGCTATAGTTTGTTGATAATACTTCTATACTTTTTCTGCAGGACTTTTACTCTTAATAGAGTATTTTTTAGAGGTTTGTAGTGCTACTTTTACTTAATAAAAAGTCAGAATATCACTGCATTGAACCCTGAGAAGCTTCAACCTTCGTGTGTGTGTGTGTGTGTGTGTGTGTGTGTGTGTGTGTGTGTGTGTGTTCGCCCTGAGGCCCATGCGGTTGTACCTTTAGGAGGTATTTTAAACTCTTGTGAGATGCAGGTGTAGCGCTGCATGCTGGTTAATGGGGGCTGGTGGCACTCACTGTGTAGATCCTATCAGTGCAAGTTTCTATAAGACAACAACACGTTAAAGTCTGCTGTGTGAGTACAGGAAAAGGAATCTTGTGAAATAGATAATGGAGTGTTGTTACTATTACACAATGTGTAAATATCACAGCGATTTCACATCAAACGTCTCTATGAGAGAATAAAGGGAGGAGTTGCCTCTCGTCCAGGAAATAGTGCCTGAAGGAGGACTTTTAATCTCAACACACGCAACCTGACTGCATGTGAAGAATCCCTCTCATGTACTGATTGGTGGGGAACTGATCCATACATGTTAAACCAGCCTTGTTAAACCCCCCTGAACGGTGTGGTAATGTGTGTGTGTGTGTGTGTGTGAGAGAGAGAGAGATTAAGGGGCGTTTTTGAGTGATTTACAGAAAGAGGTATGTGATGATGTGCCATGCGATGCCTGTGAATAACCTCTAATGTTTTTCTCCCTCCATGTCCTCGGGCCTTCACCGTCGTCATGTCCACACACGCTAACTCTCCCTCTCTCCCTCCCTCCCTCTCCGTCCTCTTTTCATCTGCACTCTCTCATAAAAACACTTTTTTTCTTCTGTTACAATACTTCTGAGGACCTCGTGTTGCTTCAATAACTTCTCTTTAAAGCTGCCTTAAGCAATTTTTTGTTTGACATTGAATAAAACCAAAATACACATATTTATCACAGCTCAACCTTGCTTTGGTGCTTCTTTTAGCTCATTGTTTTGGTTTTACAGCACATTTCAATGTCACTTTTCTCATGACACCTTGTTTTCAGCAACAAGCTGATAAAACCCAGAGTACGCTACCCGCCCAGCCCCAAACAATAAACGCATAAAGTTGGCTGGAAGCAATCTTCTGCTTTTGCAAATGTTTTATTGGGAGGAAATGAACCACTTGAGTTTGTTAGACCTTTAATCCCGAACAAACATAATTTTTGTTTGTTTACCAGAAAACTTTTAACTATTTTACTGCTTTTTCTCTCTGACAAAACCTAAAGGGATTAATTATGGAAACTATGCTTGTTTTTTTCTGTATTCTTGACGTCGCTGTAAAGAAATAGTCCGGCTCATAAAATCCCAATTTCACTAATTTTTACACTTATTATTTAAAGGATTAAAACCAAATGAGATATATCAATTAGTGAGCTTTAGAGGTGCTGGCAGTTGTTGGACTTTGTTAGTCAGGCTAGCTGTTTCGCCCTGTTTCAAGTCGTCGTGCTAAGCTAAGCTAAGCGGCTGCTGGCAGTATTTACTGTGCAAAAGTGATCTTCTTTCATCTCTGCAAGAAAACGAATAAGCATATTCCCCAAAATACCAAACTGTTCCTTTAACATTTGTTGATGTCATGGGGCAGCAATAACATTTTATTATTAAATAAATTACGACGACCATAAAATCGAGGCATTTTGCAATAAAAGGGTTCGTCACCTGGACCCCACAAGAATAGAAATTCATGAACACAGGCATGCAGCTTTGCAACCTGTTTTCACTGCCGGCGGTTTGATGATGTCAGTGAAAGGAAGCCATTGCGGTGAAAACACCCACGCTTTGCCTGTAAACAAACGCGTCTCCTGCCTGCTCTGGTCGGCGAGGCCGCGTGTTAACGTCGCCTACTTGACAGCCTCTGATGTTTTAATCTGTTTCTGTTGTTTTGTGTCCTGACTTGTCACGAGGGCCTGTTGGTGCGTGGGTTCGTTCACAATAACGCGATGACATCAGGTTCCTTGTTTTCATGGCTGTATAATAATCAGCGGTATAGCGTCTCAATCACTCTGCTATGTCAACACCGCCCTCCCTGTTCTGGCTTGCTCCGGTGATCTGCAGGTATAGAGAAACATTCCTGATGTGTGTGTGTGTGTGTGTGTGTGTGTGTTTTGTGTGAAATTAAGAAAACGAACGTGCACGGTTTCTGAGGACAGGGCTGGATATTTTCAGCTGAAGGACGTCTGTTTCAGTCTGGTTTTATGCCATAATCTTCTCATTTCCTATGTAAGTGAATCACAGCTGATGGGATAATACTGACCACATGACTCACTTATCCAGCACACACTTCCTCTCCCTGAGAAGAAATCCCCTCTCTCCATATTTGTTTCCCTCCCTCCTCCGGCTTCCCTCGGGACCTCTGGGTGCTTGTAGCTGTGTGACACCCATAGCGGGCCAGTCTGTCTGTCTCAGGGTGATGGGGTGCTGCCGAAGAGGAGCATTGTGACTCCCAGGGAGAGGAGTGGAAGGTGTGTGGGTGTGTGTGTGTGTGTGTGTGGTGGGGTGGGGGGGTTATTGTCCCCGAGCCTGCGGGAGCTGCCATGCACTCCGCGGCCAATAGCAACACAAGAATGCTGACGGGACAAAGGCCATAACTCCATTCTATAGCAACACAAGCGGGGCATTGTGCTCACACAGGCGCACACACACACACACACACACACACATGCATGTATTTGTCATTACTACAATAACACACACACACACACACATATATACGCTATATGGAGCAAACTATGCATCTGTGCAAGCGTGCCAAATGCCAAACACTCATTCATCAACTAGTTTCCCACACCATGGAACACCCCCCCCCAGGACATCTCCATCACGGGCTGAGAATGGCCAGTCAATCTGGGGACAATGAGTGGGGGGGGCAAGCAAGAGAGACAGTGAGAGAGAGAGGGGAGATCCGTGGTTCATGTGTTTGTGGCTCCCTGTTGAGTCTACGCTTCAAGGCCAGTTCCCACATAAACCACCTCCTTCCTCCGACCGACCTGAAGGTCTGCATGTTCGTTGAAGAAGTACTCGAGTACTTCACTTCAGTAAAAGTACCCGAAGAAGAAAAATGAACGAAAGTCCCACAGTCAACCTCCTGCATGAGGTGCAGAAGTATTAGCAGGAAAAAATGTGTGCTTAATATGTTGTCAGCATTTTTTAATAGCAGATTTTCGCACAAGAAAACCATCTATTTCCACAGTTTGAGCTGGTCCAGGCCGGTGGTTCCCAACCTACGGGTCGGGCCCCCTCTGAAGGGTCACCAGAGAGATATGAGAAGGAAGAAGAAGAAGGAAAAACAAAGGTCTGTGACACAAGTATGTTTTCAAATATTTCGGTAATCTTTGCGGTGAATAATTTCACCTATTTGGGCCTCAAACAGTGTTGAAATGTCTCTTTGGAGACAACTCAGATCTCATTTTATGCACATTTCCAATTTGAAACACCCGGAATTTGAAGCATGTAACTTAAAAATCCACTGAAGAGATGAAAACATCAGCTCTGTGTGGACTCAAATGAACACATAAATGCCAGATTCCCATCTTGTTTTCTACATTGACATCCATCGTTGACTGACTCTCCTCGTTGCACCTTCTTTGCTTACGTTGGTTTGATGGCACTGGTGGATTACTGTTTATCTTGATGCTCCAACTCCTAATAAGTGGATGGAAACACACAAAGATTGGGAACCACTGGATAGATTTGAACAATTCATTGTACTTTATACGCTTATACTATGCTTTTTAAAATATGAAATGCACCTGTGAGATACATGTCGTAAAAAGTAAAGTTTTCCCTCTGAAAACGTAGTTTAAAGTGGCATAAAATGGAAGCACAAGTACGTAAAGTACAGTACTTGATTAATATGTACTTAGCTACTTCCCACCTCTGACACGGAGGCATTCCTTCCAGTCACATTCCTCTTCCCGTATGCACTCGCTCACCCCTTCCCCTGCTGTCTGGAAGCAGGCTGGCGGGAACGAGGGGGAGCCGTGACCCCTCTGCCACTAATCTGTGAATGAGGAAACACGGGTACAAGAGGCTATCCGGGAAAAAACAAAACCATCCACTCCAGCTCACCTCTGGTTGAGGAGGCTAGGCCGGCAGACAGGTGAGTGACCTCTGACCCGGCCTGCCGCGGAGCGCTGCTCGACGCGCCAGGAATGTGTCCACACCTCTCAGCCAACCGCGTCACGGTGAGTGGGCGAGGAGGCGGTGGAAAACACGCAGGCCGCCTAAACCCAAACAGAGAGAGTGTGTGTGTGTGTGTGTGTGTGTGTGTGTGCGAGTGCGAGCGTGCACGCCCCGGCCTCTCTGTTATGGTCTACATTCTGTGGCACTGTGTGAATGTAGGGGAGAGTGTTTTGGGAGCGAGATTGATGGATGACTTAATCTGAAGGGGCACGGGGGGAGAGTGTGTGTGTGTGTGTGTGTGTGTGTGTGAGTGTGAGTGAGAAAGAGAGCCGGGTGATAAGGATATTTTTATCCATTTCAAGGCCTGGGCAGTTATATCAACTGTTGCTGAGAGTTCATCTGGGAAGAGAGTGTTTCTGGGAACATAGTTTCAAAGACAGAGCTGCAAAAATATTTAAGTCCTGGTGAAATGAAAAATAAATGTTCCCGGTTTTAATTTATTTCTTGTTATATGCCAAATTTATGAAAAAAAGGAGCCTTTGGGCGACTACAGCGAGCCACGCCGGTCTTATAACATCGCACTTCAACGTTTGTGGTACTTGGTAGCTAAAAGCAAAATATGGAGAGAGACAGGAAGTGATTGCGTTTGGATATCCGGAGACTAAAACTTGTTTTCATTTCAAAAACAATTTGTCTAAAGTTGAATTCATTCAAGGGAACTTTAATTTAGTTTTCCTTTGACTATTCTGTCACAGTACAGAAGCTGAGACTTTAAAGGAAAAGTTATTACGTGGGTCTAATTTCAGTAGTTTTGTCCATCGTTTGTTTCAGGTTTTTAATTGCTTATTATGGAAAACTGTTGGATAGTTTACAACCTGTCTGATCGTCTTAACATTATAACAGCTGATGGAAATGACGGCCAAAACTGTCAAAATGAGAACAGAGTTGTAATCATCCTTTAATATTACCATGTACAAAAACAATTAAACAAAAGGGGCGAAAGATGAACATAATATTTATATAGATATATACAAATAATACTGTACAAGAGCACAAAGGTAGGAATAACAAGGATTTTCTGAATTTAGTGTAATACGAGATGAATCAACGCTGTATCATGAACATTGGAACGGCAGTTTTTGAAAGTGTACACAAACCTACAGAAAAGAGCTGGACTGAATCTGGACTGTGCTCGTAAATATACCTCTGCATTCAAACTCCGTCTCTGTCTCACACACACACACACACATTTTCAAAACGGGCAAATACATTCACGTTAGGGGTCAAATCCATTCACTCCGATTTCAACACAGGCACACCTGGACTGGCTAAAAGTGAACCACCTGTAGTGGCTTGTATGGCTTGTTCAGCGTCACTCTGGGTGCTTTGCACATTATGTCAGCAGCACACACACACACACATGTGTGTCCACTGTGATATGGAATGGACGTGCTGCATCCACAGTCCATGTCAGGGGAGTCATTTAGTGTGCGTGTGTTGAATCTTCCTCTCCTTGTGTGTCTGTATTTTCTCAGTCCGTCTTAGGGTAAAGTGCTGCAGAGAGGAAGAGATTCAGTTTTATGTCAATGTGTCCAGAGGGAATAGAAAGCACTCTTGACCAAAGCGCTGAATTCCTCAATTTCTTGAGCCGCAGCAGCAGAAGAAGAAATCCTACTGTGCGAGACATGAAACGTCTTAATAAAATTATGTCCCAGGTGCTTTTAGCTGGTGCAGTCCGCCACCAGCTCCCACCGGACGACAGCAGAGGAATAAAGAGGGCGTTTCGATCATCTCAGTTCAGCCTTCAAAAAACCTGCTCCCAGACCTGTGCGATTCAATACTCCACATCTGGAGGACAAGAAAATCCAAAGCATTACTGTCCCATGTGTCCGTCCGTCCTCCATTGTTTTGACCATCCGCCTACCAGTTGCAGTCTTTCTTGAGAAGCGTGAGGACTTTGCGCCCCAAGCTGGCCTTCCACGGCTTGACGAAGCTCTTCATGTTGACCAGGAGGCGGCCCTGCTTACGGTCCGAGTGGCCCGCCACAAGGTACTCCAGCCCTGAGAAACGACGTTAAAGGTCAGGGACACTTAATCCACCTCAATCAACTTTAAAGCGGCTAAACAGCTTAGGTGTATTGCGACGTTACAAAAGCTTCAGAAAGTACTTTCTCTGATTGGCTGGGATGTGTTTGTTAAAATAGTACTGAAGCAGACAATCGCAGTGTGAGACACGGAGTGTTAGTCTGACCTGGGTTGAGGATCGGGCAGGTGCAGCCCCGTGCGGTCCAGGACTCAGGGTAAAGAGTGACCCGACCTCGCTGTATCTTCACCTTACTGTTGTGACTGAGCACCTTCTGAACTTTGACTTCCACCTCGGCGTGGGAGCCCTTATCGTGGGCCGACAGCACTTTCACCTTCAGGACTGAGAGTCAAGTGGAGAAGACAAGTATTAATTAGAGTAGAGTATTAATACTCTGAATGCTGCGGTATTAAAATCCTTTACGAGTGAAAGACCCGTGAGAAATTCTTACCATATGCATAATTCATGGTGCAGAACAGTTTGCTGTTGGTCAGGGCTTGCTCCTTGCACTCACACTTCTCTGCAGGAGACGGATACACAGGTACAGATTAATATCTGTCACATAACTGGTGTGTATGTGTGTGTGTGTGTGTGTGTGTGTGTGTGTGTGTGTGTGGTCTCAGATACTGTGCATGGCGTCCTAAGAATGCAAGCACAGTGTGTGTCCAGTGAGGAATGTGCCTATGAAAGCTGCAGTTACAGGCCGATGGTGGGAGGTCTAAGAGAAGGGACACATGGAAACTGTCCATGCATGCATGCGCACACACACATCCGTCTTTGTTCCATCGCCTTCTAAGGCCCTATGATGACTTTCATTACTTAACCATTAATGCTTGGTCACTGAGCTGTGGAAGAGGATGCATAACACACACACACACACACACAGTCTCAACTCACCTGAGTAGTGTAGGGCAGAGAAGAGTTCGTCTACTCTGAAGATCCTCACCGGCTCGCTGGAGTTTCCCTCCAAGTTGTACAGGTCCAGGTCAGAGCTGCACAAACACATTACAACATCGGCACACACGCACACACATGGGCATGTAAATGTGTTTGCAAATAAATACACAGACCTCTGTTTGCTGTGGATAATCATGTTACCTTACATAAAAATGAAAAGTTCTTTGCTATGAGGTACAAAGATTTGGGAAAAGGAAAATCACTGGTATCAAAAAGGCACTTGCTGTCTACATATCGTTTTTTATTACTCACCCAAACATGCAGTCTCCAGTAAACGGATCACAGTCTCCTGCACAGTCACACGGACGGCAGCCATACTCGTGGAAGCCCCAGTATCCCACCATGCACCTGTCGCAGTGGTTTCCACCTACTCCAGGTTTGCAGATGCAATTTCCGTTGGAGGGGTCGCAGAGTGAGCCGTCAGCCAGGTGGAAGGGCATGGAGCCCAAGGGGTGACAGCTGCATGCTGGGAAGAGAAAAAAGTAGTTTAAGATGTGAAGGTGTTGCATGTTGCATTTTGACATCGACAAATCGTTAACATAGCCTAACGTGAATTAAGTAATCAAAAAGGGTTAGTTCAAAAAGCTGTGTGGGTCCTGTGTGGGCCGTTCAGAAGCTGAGGGTCGGACTGACGACCGGTGTGCGTTCTGACGAAGGTTTCACATCCGCTGCTTTCTGGACTTCCTGTTTCTTCAGGACTGACCCGGAGCTGTGAGTTTGACTTTCACTGTTTTTGTTCTGCTGAGGATAAGGACTCTGTCCGCGGGCCTAATAGGCATAATTTATGTTCTTTTTTTGGCAAATGAAAGGGTAAATATAGTATTTCTACATTTGAAAAAAGCAGTCTGTAAACTGTTACTTCCCATCACTCCAAATATTTGTCTGGGGTCAGTTATTTAAAATAGAGCATGGCCAACTTGAAGAGATCTACTGCTAAGAACAAAAAAAAGTCATGTTTGGGAACATTGAGTCTAAAGGTCTTTTAAGATGACAGTTTACTAACCTATAAATTACAAATTTATTACCAGGACTAAAGTATTTCATCATTCATCAGTTGTTCTATTTGTCTGTGTGGTGTTGTTGCAGGAGCTTGTAATACAAAGGCCTCTCTCTTTTTCTTATCTCACACACACACAAACCTCTCCAGCTTTCTCCCCCCCGCTAATTGTGTGCTGATAGGGTGTTCTTTAAACAACCTCCAAAAACAATATACTTGCACACACACCCATGTTTCCACTGGCAGTCTGAGAAAACTACTGTCTGCCGTCTTTCTACTGTTATCAACACTGAGACCCGGAGCCTTTGCAGGGGGAGGTGTCGGGCCTCCCCCATAAATCTGTCCCCGTCCCGGGGGAGGACGAGGGAGGGAGACATGGTTAAGGAGAGAGGCAGAAGACGAGGAGGGAGAGACAAAGAGGGGGTGTTGTTAGGAGCATTTCTCTCCTGTTTAATGATGCTTGAAGCTCAACTGGCAGTAAATGACTCCAACTACTTACTGTACACCCAGAGGCATGACTCCCTGCACTCTCACCTCTTCTTTTTTTAAATCATCAATGTTTGACTATAGTAATAGAACAAACGGTCATAGTTCTGGTTATCATTACATCTATCTGCAACTGCAAAAAAATATCATGGCTGATTTTTTAATATTATCTTATAGACAAAAGAATAATAAACAGATTAATTCATGACGCAAATACTTGTTAGTTTTATGTTATATTTCCTGAATTCCTCATTAAAAGGGAGCAGGAATGACACGTCTAAGTTAGGGATGAAGCACACTGCTGTCTTCAGCCTGTCGGAACGATGTCCCATAAACCTTCTTGAGCTCCAAACCAGCTGGTTAATCAGACAAATGGTCCGGGACAACAAAGATAACATAAACCTTATCATAAGAACGAACTGTGTAATATCAATAAAATCATAAAGACATCGCATTTGTAGACTTCATAGACGCGCACAGAAGATACACAAATACTAGACATGTCCTAGACAAGATCTTTGCGTGTGTGTGTGTGTGTGTATCAGGACCTTATCTACACTATTGTTTGGTGAACAGCCTCCACACGTTAATAATCAACCGAGCACCATCTGAGGTCCATGTAAAGCTGATAAACACGTGTTACGATGTGTTCGGTACGCGCGTGTGTTTACATATCTGCGTGAGAATTTATGAGCATTTGAAGAGGGTCACTACACAAGGACTGCTTTGTGTAAATATGTATGTGTAAGAGAGCCGCAGGAGCTCTGACTATGAAAACTTCATGAGACATGACAAGACACCTGCCTGAGCAGCCAGTGTAGACAACAAACCCCCCACACACACACATATATATATATACACACACTGTAACTTTCCCCTCTGCTAAAGAGTTTTGGTGTGTACAAGCTTGACAGGGGTGTTTTCTTTCCAGGGCCCCTCGGAGCCTGGTATGAAAAAAATGTTCCTCACGACGGAGGGAAATTCCTCCATTGTCAGTGGGATTTCACAACCTGTACCTTCGTCTCAGGGGTTCTCCAAAGCATGCCGTCGCTCCTTTTTTGTCCATCAATCAGCCGTCAGGGTGAGGATCATTACCCCTCTACAGTTACAACCACAGGCGAGTTTTCATGCACGACACCCAATCCCTGAAATCTAAACCCTAGTACATGTCTGTTCTGTATGACTATCAGAGGCACATCTAAACTTGATGGTCTTAAATTGGCATGGGGAAAAGATATAATAGATAATAAACTGAAGAACAACAATGGAATAAGGCTGTATCATGTTGGTAAACATGGCTCCAGTGGAAGATTTTGAATCTATGCTAATAGAGACGCCACAATATGCAACCAAGGGCTGAAACGCTGTAGCAGTCGGTGGGTAAAAGGGTTTAAAACGTTTAAAGGTTTTTGAGAAATATTTGTATTTCTGTTGTGTGGATTTCTTGATGTAAAGAAATTAAATAAAATGTGCACGACACCCAAACTGTGATTGATATAATTGGGCTGATAGCCAACATATTGTCCCTCCTCTATGTTTTTGAATGCTTTGGTGCAATTTGTCACTTATTCGACACGTTTTAAATTCAATGTCTATGCCTACGTGAACACACACGTGTACATAATGCATTCGGTAGCTCCTTACACCAACCTTAACCATCACAACTAAATGCCTGACCCAACCCTTACCCCAAACCTAATTCTAAATAATGCAATTCTAAATAAGGTCAGTGTGATATGCACTAGAAATGATGTGTGAGTCCAGCATACCTGCAGGACTGAGCTGACTGGGTCAAATCTGACTCATAATCAGACGGGGAATGTAGCCGCTGCTGCGTGTTTGTGGATGACTATCGCGTGTTTACTTAAGACTCGTCTCATCACCGGAGGGCAGCACGCCGCTCAGACACACACGTACACACAGAGGACCCTCACGCCCTACTACCAATAATTACCCCGAAGCTACTCCAGCTCTGAGTCACGCATGAAAAATGGCAAAACAAGCCCGAGATGGACGCGCAGGGGTTTGTGTGTCGAGCTTTGAGTCAGAAGAAGGAATGCCACCATCTGATGATTAACTCCGGTGTAAACTGCGCTGGAGCGTGGGCCGTCTGCTGTCACACACACACACACACACACACGGCCAGGTGCCCATGAGGTATCAGCGCTATCCAGCACGTCTCGGCTTGCGATCTCAGTTCTCCGCATTCCTTGTGAGAATGAGATCGCCGTGCCAGCGTGGTGTGCGTATGAGGTTGATGTTATGATTCACACTAGCAACATTTTGTCAACACCGGTATGATTAATTATGCGATATGACATTTTACAGTGTGTTCTACACGTTACGGTTTGCAAAAAAATGTTGGGCATGGCAACATCCCCGCGTCTAGTATTTACTAGTGACATTCCTGAACTCATCTCATGCACAGAGACTGAAATCTGAAAAGCCACAATGTTCACTGTGATGAGCAACTGTTTGTATGTGTTGTGTGTCTTACGTTTGCATGCGTCGGGGGCTGTCTGTGGTCTCTGGGGGTCTCTGTAGAAGCCGGCTTTGCATTTCTGACACTGACGTCCCTCAGTGTTGTGCAGACAGTCACAAAGGCCTCCGCTGCGCTGGCCGGACTCACGCCACGCCGTCCAGTCAAAGCGGCAGCTATGAGCGTGTCCGTTACACTTGCACTCTGGTGTGAGAGGGAGGAAATCAACACCACCTTTGAGTCGCCGTCGCTTTTGACCAAAATATAGAGCTTTTAGAGTATCAAACAGTAATTGTCTGTATCAGAGAAGTAGATTATGCTGCTGGTTTGAGAAGTTGTTATGGACATTTTGAGGCTTTACTGTGTCTGTGGGTCTCCAGTGGAATCCACTGGTAACTGTTGAGTATCCAAGCTAACTGTAGCTGCTGCCCTCCATGAAGGAGCCAGGTTTTTTTAAGGTGGAGTATTCCTTTACTAGAAAAACAGCTGACATTGCAGCTCTGACTTACTTAGAAAATACGTTGATAACCCATGACTCTCTAGAAGTTTAACTTCCAAGAAGACAGTGAACAGGAAGTGACCATATTTGGACTGAGGAGGAGTGACGTGGGGATGCCGTATACCTGTCAATCACCGTGTAGCCCCGCCCTAAAGCATCCCCTGCTTTATGGTCTGTGTGACTCTAAATGGACCATAATGTACTAAATGAACATCATGCTGTATTGAAGAAGACTTGAAACTAGAGATTGAGACCATAAACTCATGTTTACAATGTTTACTGAGGTAATAAATCAAGAGACAAGTAGAGTCATTTTCTCATAGACTTCTATACAACCAGAGGAGTCGCCCCCTGGTGGTCACTATAGAGAATGCAGGTTTAAGGCACTTCTGCACTGGCTTCACAAAAGGAGGATGCCGTCTGGTTGATGGTCCAACATGGCAAGTTGTTTTGCTCAATTTGTACTCTTTACTTTATCTTTCCCCTGCACTGGTTTGCCATTTTGGTGCACCCTAACTCTCCCGTATGCTGCTTGTTTTTTACAGCTAATTCCAGTGTCCTCTTCCCCTAAATCCTCATCAGGGCTTTGTATATCATGCTTTGTTAAACATGCCCGTTCTACAGGCTGTTGCTGTCTATGCAGATGCACCGATAAATGGTGGTTACTCTTCAGTTGTTTATTCTAGGTCTTGTGGCGATGCAGTGAGGATTTAAAGTTTCCTCGGTGGGGAAAGGTGGGTCAGTGTTTGTTCGACTCACTCCGACATTCGTGTGGAGCGCCCGTCAGTCCGTCAGCGGGCTGCCAGGGTCGGTCGTTGTAGAGCGGAGTGCAGCGCTCGCAGTGATCACCTGCAGTGTTGTGTCTGCACACACACTTCCCATGGACCTGAGAGAGAAAGAGAGCGAGAGCTCATTAGCAACAAGCGAGATGATAGACAGAGGTAGAGATGGAAGGATGGGAGGAACAAAGAGGTCAGTGTGATGGAGAGGAAGGTTTCCCACGTGAGGACAAGCATGCTGGGGGTTCCTCTCAGATTTTACACTCTCCATTTCTTCTTCTCTCTTTCCTTTCCTGCGTCTCTGCTTTTCTCTTCCTCTTCTCCGCTTCCTCTCACTCCATCTCTCTCAGTCTCAGTCTTACTCCCTTGCCTGAAAATTAGTGAATGGACATTGATTGTTTGGCTTCATCACTGGAAACCAGAACGGGCCTCTGGTCTGAAAAGCTTGTGTGTGTGTGTGTGTGTGTCTGTTTACGAGTATGTGTGTGTGTGTGAGAAGAGTGCAAGTATGCAGCGAGAGAGCGCACAATAACAATCTCCTTGTCATTCCTGTGAGCTGGAATGCCATGCATGCTGGATAATGATTGAAGGAGAGGGGGGGGGGGGGGGGGGGGGGGGGGGG